ACCCTCTCTGTCGGTTGGCGGCGTGCGGTGCCGGCGGGTTGATGCTGGTCAGACTCCTCAGCAGAGCGGTGGGGATGACGGGAACGCCTCTGACCGGCTGAACATCCACGCTGACAGACGGACAGACGGCCGACCAGCTGAGGACGAACGACGCAACGTCAGACTGCTGAGAGCAGACGACGAGACCTCGGACCTTCATCAGCTGAGACAGATCCAGAGTCTGTCTGCTGCTCACACACTGCTGCAACACCTGAGACAGAGAGACAGACAGGCAGGCAGACAGACAGCAGCTCATCAGTTTAGACTCCTCTGAACATTACAGCAGATCTCAGATCTTCAGTCACAGAACATACATAATGGTGTCGTCTGCATAATGACGACATTTTGTATTAATTAATTAAAATAAAGTGTAAATAAAATAGGACACAGCATGAACTAGTGTTGTCATGACAACAGTCATTACGATACTAAACGACAGGAAAATTGATTTAATAAAAAATGACAGAACATGAAACTTTAAAATATTTGAAGTTAAAATATATTAAACAATGCACAACGATCTGATATCCTCCAAACTTGAGTTTGTGTTTTCACGTCGTAAACGTACCTTTAACATGTTTTATAAGATGTTAAATAAATATGTCTGTACTGTGATCAACGCATTTATTATACTGCGATATTATCACGATTTGTATTGCAGCAAAATAAGATTGTCAAGCAGACAGACTGACCAACAGTGTCATAAATGTTGAACCTGACAAACTGAACTGTTTGTATTACTACATAGTCCAACTTAACTAAATGCAAACGTGTGGACTCAGTATATGAACTATAACTTATATAAGTAGGATATAAGAGTTATATAACTCAGTATAACTTGTGATGCGTGGACGTCGAGGGCAGAGAGACAGTTATGCGCTGCACTCTCCCCATGAGCCTGCCTACTGTTGGCAGATTTAACCCCGTTGTGAGGCCAGATTGAGCGTGTGAGCGAAACACTTCACATGCAGGAATCCCGCTAACTGAACGGCAACGCCCACGTTAGAAGCGTTGTTACAACCACCAGGTTTTTGTCGGCAATCCCCCATTCTTGTGCTGCAGGAGGTCTGTAATGTTTGCCCCGGTGTGACTTACGTGTACTGCTCTAGTTTGGAGAACGTGAGACAGCAGTCACCAGTCCTCTGAGATATTGTGCTGTTATAGTTACATAGGAATCCACTGCGCTTAACGTCCACGCATCGCAAGTTAATGCAACTCTTTCTGCTGTACTCAAAGACTCCTCAACGTTAAGCTTCACTTCTCTGTAGAGCATGGGCACGACTGGGTCGGTGAAAAAACGCCGCGACGGAGTCACGTCCATGTGTCACGTCCGTGTGTCACATCCGTGTGTCACATCCATGAGTCATATCGAGGTGTCATATCCATGTCCTCCTTCCCTTCCTTGTTAAAAAAATCCAAAATAAGTCCAGACGTCTGATTTAAACGCGGACGGTGCATTTCTGATTTCTTTCTGAGATGTCTCTATCTTTGTTTTGACCAACTTCCTACTAATCACGCTGACCCGGCACCTCTGCTGACCTCACCAGAAAACAACTCGGTACCATCTAGTGGACTGAAAACGCAATTGATTTGATTTTTCTAGTAATTTTTTTAATTTTTTAATTTTATTTTTTATAGTTTATATAATAAAAGATCGATACTTGGCGTCCGTGTATCGATACAATATCGCCACGCAAAATATCGCGATACTATGCTGTATCGATTTTTCCCCCACCCCTAATAACCACTGCTCCGCTTCTAGGTGATGGGGTTCGGCTTGTACCTCATGGATGGAAACAGCAGCAACATCTACAAACTGGATGCTAAGAAGAGGATTAACCTCACCAAGATCGACAAGTGCTTCAAGGTATGGAAGGCGCATGATGTCAAATATAGACACGTGAACATGTTCTGTCACGTTGTAATAATTCACCACACTGTTTTTTTCAGCTCACCGTAAATCATTTTTAAATTGCTTTTTATTTACATTAAAATATCAGCCTGAAAACAAGCTGTTAGTGTAACAACGCTAAGAATCTGTCTGTGTGTCCTTCACACATCTCGAGAACCGTTCATCCAATCGTTTATTGATCAGGACCAAGGGAAGTGCAGCGTCCAATGTGGTGCAGTTTAGACACATGGTGGCGCTATAACAATGAACTTTACGTTTTGACCTGTAACTTTTGGATCCATAAGTTGCAAAAAAAAAAAAATAAAAAATTGTGCGTCCAGACGAATTTATCCATATAAGCCACGCCCTTCCTTCGGCCATCTTGTTTTTAAGAAATGAGTGTTGCACTTCCGACGCCTGGCCTGTGGGGGCAGTGTGGGGGTCAGTGTGTGTGACGATGCACGGGGGTCAGTGTGGTGGCTGAGATGCAACTCAAACTAAACCTGAGTAAATCCAGTAGTTTGAAGTTTCATGTTTTCACATGAATATAAAACAGATATTAGAGATGAATTATGAGCTGTTTACCTTCTAACACGAGCTCTAAGAACATTATTATACTTCATTAAATATAATGATGAAGAGATTTATTTCCTAATCATTTGAATTGACTTACTAATTGATCACAGGTGATCGGTTATTGGGGAATTTAAAAAGTCATATTTGCTCCTTTTTTAAATCTTTGGTTCCGATCTGTGACTCAAAACGACGAAACGCTTTAAAGCGAAGTGTGACGACAGACCTGTGTGTGTTTGTCTCGGTGTTCACAGCAACTGCAGGTGGTCCCTCTGTTTGGTGACATGCAGATCGAGTTGTCTCGCTACATCAAGACCAGCGCTCACTTTGAGGAGAACAAGTCCAGGTGAGAGGACACACACACACGCACACACCTTTGGTCCAGGACGTCTCTATGAGTCTTGAATTATTATATTAAATAATTATTCATCAAGAGTTGTGCACATTTTTATAGACTGGCTTTTATGTGATGTCACTTTTCAGTTTTATTTTTATTTGTCGATTTTACAAAATTATTTATTTTATTCTCCGCATGTATGGTAATATGTCTCACCTTATCTATTCAACTGTTTTATCTCAAACTGTTGAATACTTTTCTTCTTTACTTTTATAAATATTCTATTTTTTCAGTGTATTAATTGTTTTTGGTTTGTCAGTCATCTGTGAGCTGCACTAACCTCTATGTACAAACAAGTGTAAAGTGCTTCCTGCTCCATCTTCTTCTTCTTCTCTATTAATCCCGGTGTGTTGGTTGTCGTCCTCTCTCTCCCTGCAGGTGGACCTGCACGTCCATCTCCAGCAGCCCTCAGTACAACATCTGTGAGCAGATGCTTCAGATCCGTGACGATCACATGCGCTTCATCTCGGAGCTAGCTCGCTACAGCAACAGTGAGGTTGGTGTGAAGATCAGTGGTGCTTAAAGAGACGGTACTGGTGTTCTGTAGTCTGTGTGAGGTTCTCCTCCACAGTCAGGGTTCTACTACAGTAGTTCATAG